GCAAGATAAATGGTTTTAAAGATTATGTTTTTAAAATGTCTTCTTATAGGTATGGTGGCCTTTTATACAACTGCCATATGTAGTCCCCATAAAACAATAGTACTTAAGAAATTCTTATAATTTGTATTTGTAGTTATATCTGAGCATATAAAGTCTGACTCCTTTCTTATGTTTTTAACTAAAAATTTGTATTATTTTCATCCTTACAAGCAATTTAATGGAATATTTATAATATGTGTTAGAAATGAGGCAGTGTTTAGCATTACTTTTATTAGATTTATGGTACTTGATGATCAAATGAACTATATCTTTGAAGAGAGAACTAACATTAATAATGAAGAAACTGAATCTGAAACTGCACTCCTCCTTGGATGGTACTCAACCCAGCCACACCTCAGATCAGGACTTGAATCCACAATCCCTGACTTAGGAGGGGACTCGAACCCACTATCATTTAATTAAAACCACTTACCTGGTGTCAGGACTTACTGAAGCTCAGCTTCTTTCCTTTCAGCACAGAAGGAATTCAGCTTAAGGCAAAGTGATTGATAGGCAAAGAGTGAGTTTATTATCATAGGATGCCTGTGAGATATACAACCTGGCAGACAAGGGAGCACAGCCCCAAGAACAAAGGGGGCTACATTTTTATAATCAAAGAAAAAGTGGGGAGGGGAGAAAGCCATCTTCTTCCTCATTTTTGGGTAGAAGTCATTATCATTATGTCCTCCTTTGACCCTATATGGTCTAACCGGGACTGTCACTGCACTATTTAAATCATATATATATAAGTATATATATATATATATATATATATATATATATATATATATATACTTGCAAAGAAAAGCTTATATTTATAGGTAAATGACATGAGTTTGAGTAGAATGTAGAGGTCACAATTCAAATGTTTAGTTCATACAGATATTTGCCCTAAATAATAATGAAATGTCTTTATATAATATGCTTCCTTATTTTCTTTCTTTTCGATCAGTATTTTTGGCTCTAAAAGATATCTTTTGGCAAAATCTTATTTGAATTGATACAAAGTTGAAGGATACACACACACATACACAAACATATATATTTATATAAACTCTACTTATGGATAGGAAAAAGAGTAGGATGAAGTAAGTTAAATCTAACATCATTAAAATACTCTAATCTCTTCTAATTATAAGAATATTAAATATAAATTATTCCATTTCAAAAATACTTTCAGAGATGGTATAAATGGTGAGAGAATGTACATATCATATACATTATAGTTTTCCACTTTATTAAATTGATTATATTATCATAAAGAAACAGTATAATATTAAATTAAAATGCAAAATGCAAATTAATTGCAGATATAAATTGATCTCAAATTTGGGTTGTAAATAATTTTATATCTAAATTTCAGTTCTTTGATGTGCTTTTGTATTATTTCAGGAAAATAATAAATTAAAATATATAGATGTACAAATTTAAATCCTTATCTAATATATCTCAATCTCATAAATTCTAAAATCCCTCAACCTTCTTCCATTCCTCCTTCCTTTGTCCAAATATATATATATATTTGTTGATTATCCAACTTGGAATGAATATTTGTATTATTTTTGCAAAATGATTAATGGGATTAACTGCAGGATGTTGTTCCTTAACATTTTTCACAGTATACAATATATGTACTGCTTACTATTTTATACAGTGAATTTAGCTTTTAAATGTCTATCTCCATTCAAGAAAGATCTTAAGTTATTATTAAATTGTACTTTAATAATTGTGATAAAGGAAATTACATGGTGTTAAGAAATTATGCTAATATAATGAACTTTAGGAATTCATAGACAATTTAGCTGAGGCCTGAAAGATGAATGGAATTAGATAGGCAAGTCTCTTGAGAGGAGTACGGGGTGGCTGTGTAAGAGATTAATTCTAGGAGTGAGAATAGCATGTGTAATGAACCTGTAGCATAAGGGAACATAGTAAGTTCAAGGGTTACAAGAAATAAATATGACTATAGTGATGATCATGAAGGTGAGCAAGGAGTGATTCAAGGCTCCTAAAACAGTATAGTAGATTTACAATGTTGTGTTACTTTCTGCTGTACAGCAAAGTGAATCAGTTATACATATACATATATTTACTCTTTTTAGGATTCTTTCCCCATATAGGTCATTACAGAGTATTTAATAGAGTTACCTGTGCTATCAGTAGGTCTTTATTAGTTACCTATTTTATATACAGTAGTGTGTATATGTCAACCCCAATTTCCCAAGTTATCCCTCTTCCCTTTCCCCCCAGTAACCATAAAATTGTTTTCTACATGTGACTCTATTTCTGTTTTGTAAATAAGATCATTTGTACCATATTTTTAGATTCCACATATAAATGATATCATATGATATTTGTCCTTCTCTGTGATTTACTTCACTCAGTATAATAATCTCTAGGTCCATCCATGTTACCGCAAATGACATTATTTCATTCTTTTTTATGGCTGAGTAATATTCCATTGTATATATGTACATCTTCTTTACCTATTCCTCTGTCAATGAACATTTAGGTTTCTTCCATGTCCTGGCTACTGTAAATATTACTGCAATGAACTCTGGAGTGCATATATCTGTTCGAATTATGGTTTTCTCCAGGTATATGCCCAGGGGTGTAACTGCTGGATCATATGGTAGTTCTATTTTTGGATTTTTAAGGAAGCTCCATACTATTCTCCAGATGACTGTACCAATTTTCATCCCCACCAACAGTGTAGGAGGGTTCCCTTTTCTCCACACACACTCCAGCATTTATTTTTTGTAGATTCTTTGGTAATGGCCACTCTGACTGTTGTGAGGTGATACCTCAATGCAGTTTGATTTACATTTCTCTAATGATTAGTGATGTTGAGCATCTTTTCATGTGATTTTTTGCCATCTGTATGTCTTCTTTGGAGAAATGTCTATTTAGATCTTCTGCCCATTTTTTTGATTGGGTTGTATTTTTTTGTTGTTATTGAGATGCATGAGCTGTTTGTATATTTTGGATTTTAATCCCTCGTCAGTCATTTCATTTGCAAATATTTTCTCCCATTCTGTGGGTTGTATTTTCATTTGTTTAGGATTTCCTTTGCTTTGCAAAAGCATTTAAGTTTAATTAGGTTCCCTTTGTTTAGTTTTGGTTTTATTTTTTTTTTCTCTAAGAGGTGGATCAGAAAAGATCTTGCTGCAGTTTATGTCACAAAGTGCTCTGCCTATGTTTTACTCTAAGAATTTTATAGTATCTTGTCTTACATTTAGGTTGTTAATTGATTTTGAGTTTAATTTTGTGTATGGTGCTGGACTGTTCTAATTTTATCCATTTCCATGTAGCTGTTCAGTAGTCCCAGCACCACTTATTGAAGTGACTTTCTTTTCTCCATTGTATATTCTTGCCTCCTTTGTCATAGATTAGGTGACCATATGTGCATGGGTTTAGTTCTGGGTTTTCTTTCCTGTTCCATTGATCTATATTTCTGTTTTTGTGCCAGTACCAAAATGTTTTGATTACTGTAGCTTTGTAGTATAGTTTGAAGTCAGGAAGACTGATTCCTCCAGCTCCGTTTTTGTTTTTCAGTATTGCTCTGTATATTCAGGGTCCTCTGTGTTTCCACAAAAATTGTAAAGTTTTTGTTCTAATTCTGTGAAAAATGCCTTTGGTAATTTTTTAGGAATTGCATTGAATCTGTAGATTGCTTTGGGCAATATAGTCATTTTGATAATATTGATTCTTCCAATCCAAAAACATGGTATATCTCTCCATCTGTTTCTGTCATCTTTTCTTTCATCAGTATCTTATAGTTTTCTGAGTACAGGTATTTTGCCTCCTTAGGTAGGTTTATTCCTAGGTATTTTATTCCATTGGTTGTGAAGGTAAATAGGATTTTTTTCCTTAATTTCTCTTCCCAATCTTTTCTTTAGTGTATAGGAATGCAAGAGTTTTCTGTGTATTAATTTTGTATCCTGCAACTTTACCAAATTCTTTGATGAACTCTTCTGGTTTTCTGGTAACATCTTTAGCATTTTCTATGTATAGTATTATGTTATTTGCAAACATTGACTGTTTTACTTCTTCCTTTCCAATTTGGATTCCTTTTGTTTCTTTTTCTTCTCTGATTGCCATGGATAAGACTTCCAAAACTAAGTTGAATAAAAGTGGCAAGAGTGGACATCCTGACCTCAGAGGAAATGCTTTCAGTTTTCACCCTTGAGAATGATGTTTGCTTTAGGTTTGTCAGATATGACCCTTATTACGTTGAGGTATGTTTCCTCTATAACCACTTTCTGGAGAGTTTTTTTCATATATGGGTGTTGAGTTTTGTCAAAATGTTTTCCTGCATCTATTGAGATGATCATATGGTTTTTATTCTTCAATTTATTAATATGGTGTATCACATTGATTGATTTGCGTATATTGGAGAATGATTTTATCCCTGGGATAAATCCCACTTTATTATGGTGTATGATCCTTTTAATGTGTTGTTGGATTGGGTTAGCTAGTATTTTGTTGTGGATTTTTGAGACTATGTTCATCAGTGATATTGGCCTGTAATTTCCTTTTTTATTGGTATCTTTGTCTGGTTTTGCTATCAGGGTGATGGTTGCCTTGTAGAATGAGCATTAGAGTGTTCCTTCCTCTGCAATTTTTTGGAACATTTTGAGAAGGAAAGTGTTAGCTCTTCTCTAAATATTTGATAGGATTCACCTGTGAAGCCATCTGGTCCTGGACTTTTGTTTGTTGGAAGTTTTTAATCACAGTTTCAATTTCAGTAATTGTTGTTGGTCTATTCATATTTTCTATTTCTTCCTGATTCAGTCTTGGAAGGTTGTACCATTCTATGAATTTGTCCATTTCTTCCAGGTTGTCCATTTTATTGGCATATAATTGTTTGTAGTAGTCTGTTATGATCCTTTGTATTTCTATGGTGTCCTTTGTAACTTCTTTTTCTGTTCTAATTGTATTGATTTGAGGCCTCTCCCTAGTTTTCTTAATGAGACTGGCTAAAGGTTTCTTCAATTTTATCTATCTTTTCAAAGAAACAGCTTTTAGTTTTATTGATTTTTCTATTTTTACTTCATCTCTTTCATTTACTTTGGCTTTGATATTTATGATTTTTATCCTTCTACTAAATTTGGCTTTTGTTTGTTTTTCTTTCTCTAGTTGCTTTAGGTGTAAGGTTAGGTTGTTAGATTTTTCTTGTTTCCTAAGGCAAGATTGTATTGCTATAAACTTCCCTCTTAGAACTGTTTTTGCTGCATGTCATAGGTTTTGGATTTCTGTGTTTTCTTTGTCATTTCTGTTTAGGTATACTTTGACTTCCTCTTTGATGTCTTCAGTGATCCATTGGTTGCCTAGTAACATTGTTTAGCCTTCATGAGTTTGTGTTTTTTGCAGGTTTTTTTCCTGTTTTTTTTTTGTAATCTCATAATGTTGTGCTCAGAAAAGATGCTTGATATAATTTCAATTTCCTTAAATTTACTGAGGCTTGATTTGTGGTCCAATATGTGATCTCTCCTGCAGAATATTCCATGTGAACTTGAGAAGAAAGTTTATTCCACTGCCTTAGGATGGAATGTTGTATGAATATCAATTAAGTACATCTGATCTAATGTGTCATTTAAGGTCTGTGTTTCCTTATTAATTTTCTGTCTGGAGGATCTTTCAGTTGGTGTAAGGGAGGGTGTTAACATCCCCCCAATATTATTCTGTTACTGTTGATTTCCCCCATTTTGGCTGTTAGCATTTGCCTTATATATTGTGGTACTCCTGTATTGGTTGCATATATATTTACAATCATATCCTCTTCTTGGATTGATCCTTTGATTAGTATGTTGTGTCTTTCCTTGTCTCTTGTAAGTGTCTTTATTTTAAAGTCTATTTTTTTCTCATATGAGTACTCTACTCCACTTTTTTTATTTTCCATTTGTATGGAATTACTTTTTCCATCCCCTCACATTAAGTCTGTATGTGTCCCTAGATCTGGGTGGGTCTCTTGTAGACAGTATATATACAGGTCTTTTTTTTTTTTTTTTTTTGTATCCATTCATCCAGTTTATGTCTTTTGGCTGGAGCATTTAATCCATTTACATTTAAAGTAATTAATGATATGTATGTTCCTACTGACATTTTCTTAATTGTTTAGGATTTATTTTCTTAATTATTTTTTCTTCCCTTCCTCTTCTGTTCTCTTCTCTTTTGGTTTGATGACTATCTTTGGTATTGTGTTTGGGTTACTTTATTTTTTTGTATGTGTATCTATTGTGGTTTTCGGTTTGCTGTTCCAATTAGGTTTTGATGTGGCAATCTATAAATGTACAAGGTTGTTTTAAGTTACAGGTCTCTTTCCCACCTAGAGAAGTTCCTTTAGCTTTTGTTGTAGAGCTGGTTTGGTAGTGTGGAATTCTCTTAGCTTTTATTTTCTGTAAAACTTTTGGTTTCTCTGTCATATCTGAATGAGAGCTTTGCCAGTTAGAGTATTCTTGGTTGTAGGTTTTCTGTTTCATCACTTTAAATATATTGTGCCACTCCCTTCTGGTCTGTGGACTTTCTGCTAAAGAACCAGCTGATAATTTATGGGGATTCACTTGTATATTTTTTTTTTCTCTTATTGCTTTTATTGGTTTGGCCAAAAAGTTCATTTGGGTTTTTCCGTAAGATGTTATGGAAAAATCTGAACGAAATTTTTGGCCAACCCAATAATAATTTATTTTCCTGTAATTTTTCAGTTTGATTAACATGTGTCTTGGCATGTTCCTCCTAGGGTTCATCATGTATGAGACTCTCTGTGCTTCCTAGACTTGAGTGAGTGTTTCCTTTCTGATGTTAGGGAAATTTACAGCTGTAATCTCTTCACATTTTTTCTCAGTCACTTATTTTTCTCCTCCCCTTTTGGGACCCCTATATTGCAAATATTGGTGCCTTTAATGTCCAAATATCTCTGAGGCTGTCCTAATTTTTTTCATTCTTTTTCTTTATTCTGTTCTGTGGCAGTGCTTTCCACCAATTTGTCTTCCAGATTCCTTATTTGTTCTTCTGCTTCAGTTATTCTGCTATTGATTCCTTCTAGTGTATTTTTCGTTTCAGTTATTGTATTGTTCATCTCTGTTTGTTCTTTATATCTTCTAGCTCCCTGTTAAATATTTCTTGTATCCTCTCAATTTGTGCCTCCATTCTTTTTCTGTAATTTTGGATCATCTTTACTGTCATTACTCTGAATTCCTTTTCAGGTAGAGTGCCTATCTCCTCTTCATTTAGTTGTTCTTGTGGGTTTTTAACCTTGTTCCTTCATTTGCAATGTATTTCTCTGTTGTCTCATTTTGTCTACCTTTCTGTGTTTGTGGTCTCCTTTCCATAGGCTGCAGGACTGTAGTTCCTCTTGCTTCTGGTGTCTGCCTCCTGGTGGGCGAAGTTGACCCAGGGGCTTGTTTATTGGTGGGAGGGACTGGTGCCTGCCTTCTGATGAGTGAATCTGTGTCTTGTCCCTCTGATGGGTAAGGCTGTGTCAAGTGGTGTGGTTTGAGGTAATTGTGAGCTCAGTACAACTTTAACCAGCCTATCCAGTGATAGGTGGGGCTGTGTTCCTGTCTTACTCATTGTTTGGCCTGAGGTGTTCCACCTCTAGAGCTTGTAGGCTGTTGGGTGGGGCTGGCTCTTGGTGCAAAACTGGGGTCCTTCAGGAGAGCTAATGCCATTTAATATTCTCTTGGGGGGCTTCCCTGGTGGTGCAGTGTTTGAGAGTCCACCTGCCGATGCAGGGAACGTGGGATCGTGCCCCGGTCTGCCTTGGCCGCTGAGCCTGCACGTCCAATGCCTGTGCCCCACAATGGGAGAGGCCACAAAAGTGAGAGGCCCATGTACCACAAAAAAAAAAGTCTCTTGGGCCTCCACCATCAGTGCCCTTGCCCCCATAGTGAGCTACAACCATCCCCCACCTCCCCAGGAGCACCTCCCAGACCCCTAGTTAGGTCTAGCCCTGGTTCCTACGGAGGTGTTGCTTTGTGCTGTGTCAGCACACATGAGGACTTGTGTGCACCCTCCAAGAGTGGAGTCTTTGTTTCTCCCAGCCATGTGGAGTTCCTGCACTCAGGCCCCATTTGCTTTCAAAGTCACATGCTCTGGGGGTTTTTCATCCAGGTGCTGACCCTCAGACTGTTTTGGAGGGCTATTTTTATGTGGGAACATTGCTATATAGTCTTTGAGTTTTTAATATTTTTTGGTGTGAGGGCTGTTTTTAGTATGGATGCCTGCCACCTCTTTCCTCAGTGTATGCTGTCTGTTATCCCCTTGATAGGAGGTGTGACTGATGTGACGTGAGCCTGCACTGGATATTAAGAGGGGCCTCCCATTTGCTCTGTGGTTGTTACTGTCCTATCATGGGCAGGGTCTGTCCCCTAGTTGTTGAAGTAGAGGTCCCAGATCTTTTTCTGAGCTATATGAGGTGTGAAGTAGATGGTATTGGAGTACTCCTAGTGGGAGAGAAGCCACTGAGTTTTCCTCCTCTAGAGCTGTTCATCTGTGAGCATACTCTGTTGGGTCACTTTTAATCCATCGTACTGGCTCACAATTTACACTGCTGTTGGAATTGCTCTCAGTCCCACCCTAACTGTGGGTATGCCAGCAATTGGCCTTGGTGTCTCTCAGGCATTATTTTCAACAGGCCACCAGCACAGATCCACTGAAATCAGGTCCCAGGACTGCAGTAATCATGCACCTGGACCTGCTGTAGGAGTTATGGAGGCAGCTCAGATTCTGGCCTGGTCCAATCCCATCATGTACATGCTCACAAAACCCACAGCTGCTAAAGCTACACCCTTCTCAGCTGTGGGAGTACTCTTCCATTCAGACATTCACAGGTGCTGAGTTTACAAAGCTGGCAGTGGGGGGCATAAATCCGTGGTTCCTGCAGCGATGAGGAGAGATTTCAGCTCTTCTTCCTTAGTTGCATGGCCCTGGGGCTCAGCTGTGGTTTCAGCCCCACCTCTGCAAGTCTTCCTCCCACCAGTGCCTGCTCCTGAGGCTGCCCCAGAGCACACTTGACCATCCAGGTGGGTGGGGGTGAAGGTGGTGATGGCGAGGAGCATGAGCCTGCTGGTGCCAGCTGGGCTTATAAGGTTTTAAAAAAACCTTATGCTCTGAAAGTAAAACGAGAAGAAACAATGACATAAAGTGAAAATTAGGAACATAGTGTATCATGTCCTCAAGGAAAAAATATATTTTCAAGAAAGTAACCATGAGAATTATGTTTCTGTAAATCAAAAAAACTTATGAATTGGAGAATATATTTTGTACTTATGAAATGAAAGTCATTGGCAGAAAAGATACTTCAAATAATTAACAATTATATAACATTGACAATGACTGACCATGTACTTTGTTGCAAAGCTAAAGAAGGGCCCTGAGGACCCCTTTTATGACAGGAATCTTTTAGTTGCAAGTTATTGCAGAGTTTGACAAAAGGGTACCTAAGTTGAAGCTGTTGCTGATGAGTAAGTGGGGTAGAAGACTGGATAGGGATGGATGGGGACATGTCTCAGATCAGAAGTACTTTGTTATTTTAATAACTGTTATGGACATAGTAGTATTTTATTCCTAAAAACAAGTCTTCGTGATTGTTGACTTTAGAAACATCTTATTCAAAATTTGATGCATCAGAGGTCATGGTGGGCCAAAAAGTGAGTGAAAATAAAAAAATAAAGTTATAATATTGATAAAGTCTTTTTATGTAACATGGCTAAAAGAGACAGGTGTGTAACTGGGTGGAGATAATCACTGGAATAAAGTTGTTTTGTTTGAATAAGAATGTTTTAAAACCAGTGTAACTGGCCATGTTGAAATGTAGAGGAAAAAAAAAAGCAAAAGATTACATAATCCATATCTTAAATGATGAAGAAATGATTACTCTTAGCTAGAAAGAGGATGGTTCTTTTATTTTAAGAGATGATAAGGAGAAAAAGTGGAGGATAGATTTGAAAGAAAAAAAAATGACCATTGTGAAGAGTAACCATAAGTTGCCCAGGGAACCCACTGGACTGCCAGGTTTAGGAATTTTGACCATGAATTTGAAGCTGAACCAGTCCATTATGCTATGAATTTCTGTAGAAACTTGCATCT